AAACAGTTGAATTGGCTGCGAAACAATCGACAATCGCACAACTATGAGAAAACTGTCGTCTCTCAATTGTTCTTTTAATATGTGATTTTGAAAAAGCTAAATGAACTTATGATAGGAAAGGTAAGAAACCTTTTTTTCTTAAAAACATTTTTATTGTTTTCTTTTTTGTTTGAAAACTGAAGCAAACTTAACCTCAAAATAAACTATGTATCCGACACAGAGCGGTGAATAGAAGAGATTTCGTCTTTCTTAACTTTTTAGTGTATGTTAACGAAAACTTGACATTTTTTCTTTTGAGAGCATTGAAAAATCTACGATGATAAAACATAAAGTAAAATGTAATCACCATCTTAATGCGAAAGTTTAGATGGATGGATTTTGTAGTAATATACTGAACGGATGTCGATGAAATTGGTCATAGATGTAGAGGGTAATATGGAAGAACACATAGGCTACTTACTTTTTTTTTAATTTCACGCGGAAGAGTCGTGGTCCAAATCTAGTTATTTTATTAAATTTAAAGCAAGAATAAAGGCAAACTGTAAAGACATTAAAAACACATAACCCTGGTTTTATTGATTTCAACAGTGGTTGTGCCCGCTTTAACATGTTAGCAGTGCAGGGCCGGCACGCCCCCAGTAATACCACGACCACACAGAAAACAGGCGTGAAATGGAAGCAATTCCGTGTTTCGTCTGATGAATGTGGTGCCGGAGTCCTAATTTAAGTTCCTTTCCTGGTAAACCACCCCGTTCTTATAAGGAGAGTATAAAAAGAAATGGATTTGACAGTGGAGGATGGAGGAAGATGCATAGGAAGGGGAAGTATCGTCTTTATGTGCGTCTCCTCCTCCGTCGGATAGGGGTAGGCAACGCATCTGCAATTGCGGAAGTCTATGGGCAGCGGTCGCTTCGCTATTTTGGCGGATTCAGGTGGCCGCTTGCTCGTTTGCCACCTTATGTTATTAAAAAAAACACATTAGTACATTAAAAAATCTCTTCCTATCTATCAATCTTCAAATATATCCAAAGCATTATTATTAATAGCCTAAACGAATTATATTTTATTACGTATTGTTAGATATGAAAAAGAGTATTCGTCTTTGTAAGGTAACATAATTTAACTACGTTCCAAATCACAACAGCAATTTCCGTGGAGTCGAATTGATATAAAAAAGTCGATTGATATGTGGCCTTCACCTCGTGGCATTTTTCACTCTTAATGTATGGGATAAGTTGGAGATTTTTTTTAAGCTTTTTTACTGTATATCTCTACGTATTTCCGTGTTAGTTAACTTATCTTGACCGTGATAGTTGGTGTCATTGATTAATCGTATGCTATCATTATTCTTTTGTCTTTACGTTTGCAATCTCCATATATTTCATTGTTCTTGGTCCACTTTCTATTATTGCGAATTGAAAAATGTACTAACGATATATGTAGCCCGGGGTTTGTTTTTTTATTTAATCTTTAATATAAGCGAGACGGGGACATAAACCAGAAATTGTTAAGATTGCATGTGGCTACCAAGGTAGAGGAAGACCGGAGAAAGTATGGATAGTGTGAAAGAGGATATGCTTAAGAAAGTTGTGGATTCAGATATGACGGCTGATAGAGATGTATGGAGCAGCACATACTGTGCCGACCCTCTATAAGGGATAAGGGAAAGTGGACGATGATATGAAATAATAATAATAACATAATAATGTCAATATAAAGGCTTTTGCAGAACATCAGCGTTTTTACCCCTAGGGTACAAAACATATAGCTGAGCAAAGGCCCTATCAGTTCTGCATTGCAACGCATTGTCAAATTGTTTATATATTTTGTTTTTATTTTTCCTCTTCAATTTTCTTGTCATTAGTTTTGATTGTTAATGATTGGTTTTCGTTTTTCTCGTTTGTATTTTTTTTTTGTTCAAGTGTATTATGTTGTATTGTGTTGCAGTGTGTTTTGGAACTGATTAAATGTGTATTATTATTAATATATGAAATAACTTTTATAGTCTAGAACATAGACTGAGTTTTAAGCAAATCTAGTTTGCAATCGTTTTAATAACATCCACGTCCTCAAAGTGGTAGACAGAAAACTTCGATTTGTTTCACATATTTCCTTTTTTACATATATTTAGAGCTTACAATCGCACAATTATTGCGATTGTCGATTGTTTCGTTATCCATTCAACTGTTTTGCACAACTAAAAATCGAGTATTGTAACCTCCATATAAGGTCATAGGAATCAAAGCGAGACTAAGCAGTTGTGCGATAGTTTAGTCAAATATGTGCGTTCTTATATAGAGATGTTACATAGTATTTAATGGACTTAAAAATTCGTGATGAAACATTGTAAGACTAAGAAAAAACCCAAACAATAAATGGTGGGAAAATCCTTCGTCAACGGAAAGCACGTCTACAGATAAAATATTTCGAATTATAAAAAGTTTAAAAAGTTTTTGTTTTTAAATTTTTGAATTACAGTCTAATAAAAATGACTTCCTAATTCAGTACATTTGCATTTAAAAACACTGCTTAGAGGTGCCTATGTGATTTTCCATAAAGTATTTTACGTTTACCAAATTTAATCGAAATACATGCTATACTGGAAATTTTCGCAATTACAATATTAGTAAGACGTAATGTACTTATTGACGACTTACATAAATATATTGATATCTTTTTAATTTGGTTTTTTTTTCTTAATTATACCTACTGGCTGTTGCTCACGACTTGATGTGCGTGGAATTAAAAAAACAAACGAAAGTAGCCTGTGTGTTCTATGTTCTACATTTAAACCAAATTTTCATCGAGATCTATTCAGCAGTTTAGGCTACAAACTCTTACAAACATCTGTCCAAACTTTCACATTTATAACATTAGTATTATGTAGAGAAAACAAAATGATTTTCATAATCATACTAATATTATAAATGTGAAAGTTTAGATGGATGTTTGTAAGAGTTTGTAGCCTAAACTGCTGAACGGATTTCGATGAAATTTGGTATATATGTAGAGGATAGTCTGGAAGAACACATAGGCTATTCATTTTTCTTTTTTTAATTCCACGCGGACGGAGCCGCGGGCGAAAGCTAGATTTCATAATAAAACAAGTTTTCGTATTAAAATAATAACAATATATGCGATATTGCCGCGTAAATATTACCCTTCTGCAGTAGGACAATTATGCATTCTATTTATTACACTATACGATTGTTTTTCCATTGTTTTTTTAAATTCTGCATAATCAAAGTATTCTTAAAATCACTAACAATCAATCCAATGCTAAGACAACTCAGCAAATAAATCTCCCAACCCTCTAATGGTTGGTTTCGCTTGCATTAGCAGAAATAACGGGCTAGGGGTAGGTTTCACCCCTGCCAATTTATAAATCAATCGAACCCCCTTTACTCAGTTATTGGTTAAACTCGATGCAAGATTACGAAGTTGTTAGATTCGATTACTGAAGTTTGCTTACCGGAATTGAATTTACAAATTTTGTAAACGTGAAAACCGTAGACTCAAGATTTGAACGGATTTTCAAGCTAAAATTATAAACAATATCAGTGTAGTTACCACCAATGTATGGACATTCTCATATTAAATGCCCGACTAATCAGTTGATAAAAAGTCTAGTTATGTGCGTGGGCTAGGGGGCGTTAGAGTAGAAAAAAAAATTGTATTATAAGGTGGCAAACGAGCAAGCGGCCACCTTAATCCGCCGAAATGGCGAAGCGACTGCCCATAGACATCCGCAACTGCAGATGCGCTGCCCACTCTTGATTGATTGGAGGAGACGCACATAAAGATGATATTTACCCTTTCTATGCGTCTCCTCCACCGTCAAATCCACTTTTCCTTTCCATCCTTAACTTAACAAAAGAGTGCGAAGGAAATGGGACTAAAACTAGGCTTAATAAATCTCGTATCAGAGTAAATAAGAGTGATGCAAGATACAACATAACTCGCCCTGTAACAGGGGTAGGCAGAAACGGACCTTAAGGGTCTTGAAACACCTTCTTTCTAGAATTATATTTTCTAAGGATAACAGAAAACTAATTGTAATTGAAAATACGTATAATAGCGTATTCGTGTACATAAATATTTATGTTAGTTATTAATTTGTGTTAGTTAAACATTGCGTGTTCACCGCTAGTTAACTGTAGTTAATGTAATTTGAATTTTTAGCTTTTAATCAAGTTTTTTTTAGGAAAATTAAACGCTTATTTATTCCAGTGTTGTAGGCAAGGTTAGGTTTAATTTTACTTTACTTGTAAGGTATTATTTTTCTAGAAATAAACCTAGATTATGTTATTCAGTGATAATGTAGCTTTCTAATGGTGAAAGAATTTTCGAAATCGTTTCAGTAATTTTAAAGTTTACTCGTTACATATAAAATACAAATTTTTCCCCTTTATACTATTACTATATGATGCTTGCAACTTTATCTACGTGAAATTAAAATTATAGCCTATGTTACTTAGCGATAACGTAGCTTTTTATGGTGAAAGAATTTTTTAAATCGGACCAGTAGTTTTTGAGTTATTTCAATACAAACACAAATACAATTCTTTCCTCTTTAAATACTACTGGCTGTTGCTCGCGACTTAGCCCGCGTGAAATGTAAGAAGTAATAAAAAATTACCTCTAAATTACCTCTCTAATGGTGAAAGAATTTTTAAAATCAGCCCAGTAGTTTTTACGTGAAAGGAATACATACAAAAATACAAAAAAAAACAATAATTCCTATTTACAATATTAAATACTATACAAAAACATAAATGTGAGAGTAACACTGGGAAATGTAAGTAAAAGATATTTTATGTAGGTAATACTAACTGACGCCTGCTATTTCTTCCGGGCGAAATTAAAAAAACTTAGTAGCCTATGTGTATCCGTAGAGTTATTCTCGAGATAATTTCTAACATACGTCCATACATTTAAACTTTCGCATTTCTAATACTAAGTAATTAAGGCAAATAATTCTTTGGTAATTAGGTACTCACTGGGCATCATTTCGACGTGGGACGAGGTGTCCATAATGTTGTGATGATGGAGCATGTCCGGTGGGGACTGCACCAGCCCGCCACCGCCGCCGCTGGCCATCACCATCACTGATGATGATGATAACCGTAACAGTTCCTATCACTGATTGCCGACCGAGTTCCTATCACGTTCGATATACAGACCGCTGTTCCTATCACGTATGAGAGCAAAAAGTCTATCACGAAATGATACTTCCTATCACTGATGTAATCACACAGATCAATATTCTATCTAAAGTTATTTAATATACCAAGTTTCTATCACAATAACACTTTTAAAAAGATACAACACTTTCGGTCCGTAAGCACTTCGACATTTTTTGTTCTAATACAAAAAGTTCGATAGCACAGACGTGTTATCGCGGCGACGGCCGAGCCAATACTGCCGTATTTTACGTATAATTCTATGGATCGGCGCCAAAGCGCATGAGTGGACCTACCCATAACCCTATTGGTGGGATTTTTAACGCCTTTTTGAATGGGTAACTCAGATTGGTCGTTTGAGAATAATTTTCCCGCCCAAAGCGACTGTACCCTACAAGATGGCGCCCCCCTCGGAGCCTTCGGTTGCTTTTTTTGAACATTTTCTCGCGTAAAAAATAATCCTGTTCGAATATAATGAGCATGATTTATGTTTTGAATCCGCGTTTCGGTTTTCTTTTTATTTTTAATCTGTTCATGTTAATCTACGGTGTTGGTGGTTGTTTTTTTTTATTGATTATGTCTCGTGGCTTTGATCTTGTGCGGTTTTATTTTATTATTGGTCTACAATTCTTATGGCGGTTTGCGATTTTATATTTCTTTGAGATAATTGGAAATAATGATTCAATGAATACTGAATCTATCGATTTCTAAGTCAAAAAATGATGTTTACATTTCTTGTTTTAAATTAAATTTCAATTGTACTTAAAAATATACCTATACGTAATTAAAACAATTCATTTAACAAAAATTTAATCTTTGTTAAACGAGCAAAAATATACGTCAAAGATTAGCAGATGTTTTAATAAAAAGAATAAAAAAAATACTCTTTGTTTTAATTACCTCATTACCTTATATGTCATTTTTTCCGTCCTATTCTGTACAACGTTATTTTATAACCGCTAGATGGCGTTGGACGCAGCAATACTAATTTCGGTAACTATAGACATTGTATAACTACTCAATAAATAACAATATTTCTGTCGAATTTAATATTCATTTAGAAATAGGTTATTACAAAATTAATATTTAATTCCAACTTGACTTAATAAAGAGGTGGTTTGTGTAATCAAGTGACAGAATTAAAATGGCTTTAGATTTTAATTGAGTACTTTTGTATAAGGTTAAGTCCGCTAAGCACATTTAATTTTAAAATTATTTAACGAAATTTTTATTAGATCAATCGAATTGTACATTTTTCAGTTTTATTACTTTAACTTAGTCTTTAGTTGACTCTATCTTATTAAAAATATCTGTAGTTTTATAAGCTCTTAAGGTATATAAAAGTTCAATAATAATAAAGTCATTTAATTAATTCTGAAGACAAACATCATACATTTAATTACACAGTTGACAAAAATAATGACAAGGAAAAATGTTATAAACAAAAAAAAAAGAATACATACACAATCATACTTCATACTAATATTATGAATGCGAAAGTTTAGATGGATGTTTGTTAGAGTTTAGACTAAACGGCTCAACGGATTTTGATGAAATTTGGTATAAATGTAGAGGATAGTCTGGAAGAACAGATAGGCACATTTGTTTTTTAATTCTTTGTGACGGAGTCGCAGGCGAATGCTAGTAGTGAGCATAAAAATAATGAATATATTTTAAACTAAGTTTGCTATGCTGAATGGATAAGGCATTTACTCTGCTATGTGCTTATTACAGTACGTATAGCAATAAAATTTCAAACTAAAACACTAGTTGTAGACATAAAAGGAACACTTTATGTCATAAGGTGGCAATTGCAAAGGCTGAATGCGCCAAAATGGCGAAGAGACTGTTGCCTATAGACATCTGTTATAACAGATACGTTACTTTCGGTAGGCAAATTAATCACTTTCTGATGATTGAGAGCGTCGGTGGTTCAGTGGTTTAAACACTTGACTTGTAATCTAGTTTTCGGGTTCGAATCTTGCCAAGCACCATTGTGTTTGTCGAATTATCATATGTACATAATATACCCGACATTCTTACGGTGAAAACATCGTGATGCAACCTACATCAGAAAAAAAATTCAACGATATTTGTTAAGTCGACCAATTGCACTGCGAGTGCAGTGTGGTTGACTGTTACCTAGTCACCCTAATTTAGGGTAGGCTTCGAGCCCCTCAGTGAGGACGTATATTGAGCTGGTGATGATGATTATGATAACTTTGCCCTTAGGTTGATACCTAAGGTCCACTGCAGACCGTAGCCTGATTGCCACATTGCCAGTATCTGGGTCGCCCATCATTCTCCCCTTGCAATACCAACTCATCCATCTCGAACATAGATTAAAAAAGAACATTTCTGTGAATCAAAGAGACATTTTGTCTCATCAAATAAACCACTATTAATCAATTATAATTAATGTTTACATGTAGATAATATATCTAATAGTGTTCTTGTGATCATGCCGACAGACATGTTTCTTGTGATCTTGTAATTTATAAAACATAATCGATAAAATATACAAAGATCAAAGGGAAATAAACCGCTATCTATATGTTGATAAAAAGACATATAGTTGATAATTACTCATAAAAACATGGAATTATTTTTTAATTAATGTAAACAATTTAACCGTAAGTTTTCACTGTACACGCGTAAAATATATTTCATACTAATATTATAAATGCGAAAGTTTAGATGGATGTTTGTTAGAGTTTGTAGCCTAAACGGCTGAACGGATTTCCATGAAATTTAGTACAGATGTAGAAAATAGCCTGGAAGAACACATAGGCTACTCTTTTTTGCTTTTTTCTAAATTCCCTGCGGATGGAGTCGCGGATGAAAGCTAGTTAATGTTATAAATGTGAAAGTTTAGATCGATGTTTGATAGAGTTTGTAGCCTAAACTGCTGAACGGATCTCGATAATTAGACCAGTTGCCTGCGAATGTGTTCACCCAATATTAAGATGAAAAGTAGCCTATAATAGCCGTCTCGGAGATTATTAGGATTAGTTCCGGAGATAGCGGCTTGCGGACAGATTGACAAAAAACTTAAATGCAATTATCGTTGCCAGCAATTCAAATCTTCCCGATCGATCTAATGATCGCCGAAATTCGGAAGAAGATGGCACTTTAAGACGAAGAAATCTTCCCGAAATCTGGATTTTTTTTTTTGATATTACAGACACTACAATTTTATCATATGTATAGAAGATAGACGTACAGCATAGTCTAGAACATAGGCTACTCACTTTTGTTTGTTTTAATTCCAGGCAAACGAATCGCGGGCGAAAGTTAGTATTGTAAAGAAGTTTGTCTTCGAAATACATAGTTTTGCTAGCATATTTAATTCCCTGTCTCTTCTGCCATATCCTGTTCCGATGACGTCATATGGCACAAAACTTGTAAAGAAAACTGTCAAAATTATCTTTTGTTTTTTGTAAATTTGCAGCTGCGTCAATTTTTTAAAGATCCTCGCGAACTTCCTTCCTTAATGAAGATTTAAAATTTAGCAATCCTATTTCAATGCAATAAAGGTGAAAATTCTATGTAATCAAGACATCTGTTAAAGTCTTATCTGTTAGACGGTTATCTATCGTTTTAACTGCTTTTGGCGCGAACATTTGGCGCCAATTTTTTGTCATCGACAACCTCACACGTCGTTGACAATGTAATTAGTGAGGAATTTATAGTCTGTGACGTTTACGGTTTTCTCTTGTCTATGGATCATTAGGAATGATCTGAACAGGTTAATAAGTAGGTCATCTTAATACATAACCTAAAAGATAAATGTTATTTAAGAGATTTTTAAAAATCACATCTTACTAATATTATAAATGCAAAAGTTTTGATAAATGTATGTTAGGGTTTGTAGCCTAAACTTCTGAACGGATTTTGATTTTGTATAGATGTAGAGGATAGTTTGGAAGAACACATAGGTTACTTGCTTGTGATTCTTTTAATTCCACGCGGACGGAATCCCCGGTGGAAGCTAGTAATATGCGAAAGTTTGAATGGTTTTCAAGTTACGGATGTAGAACATAGTATGGATAAGCATATTGGCTACTTAAAAAGCTTGTTAAATCAGTGCAGATGGAGTCGCAGCATAAGCTAGTGTTAGCATAAGTAATTATCTACATTAATATTCAAGGAATTCATACTAATTCATAGTTATTATTTACACAGATCCGCGCTATCCATTCCGTGTGTTTACATATCTCCAGTTATAATCCAGCGTTATTTTCTACACTGGACTGGAATACAGACTGTAAGAGTATAAACGTATTCTTAGTAAGGGGACAAAGAAATTAATATCCCCATTCTAGGAGTTCCGGATGCACCGGAAGTGAGAGGGGAAGGCGACCGGAAGCCGCTGACCGGAAGGAAACTGCCTGAGCGCCATCTATTGATTGCGGCTAATTCATTTGCCCCGTCAATGTCTGCACTGAATGTGAGTGTGCATACTATATCTATGTGTAAAAGTTTTATAATAAAATCTAATCCGAATTTGTCCCTTTGAAAAAGTAAACTAACTGAATCACGAAAGCCAGCCTCCTTTTACGCCCTATATCCGTGGTCTGTGCTTACCCTTCTGTTACGCGCGTAAGTTATGTTGTTTATTATTTTAAACTTTTACCAAAATAGTTAAACATTTGTTTTGTTGTAATGTGAATCTATACTCATATTATAAAGAGGAAAGATTTGTATTTTTGGATACTTTTGTAGCTTTCGCATTTATAATATTGGCAAGATTACTAAGATATATAACTTTGAAGTAATTTTCTTACAAACATTTTCGTTGGGTCATTAAAACATAAAAATCTCCAATCTTTATAAGTTATGTTTTATTTTTCTTTACAATAATATACACAATAAACTTGACTCAGTTCAAGTTTTACGACGACCCGGCTGTAATATTAGCATTAATACCCCCTACCCTTCACTCCTCTCGCGTTAGAGCGAGACGGATATACGTCACTGTACGTTCAGTGCTGTTGCCCTGGTTGGCTGTATGATACCACAGACGTCAATACTTAAATAACTTAGAACGAAATCAACGTTGGTTATGTGATTTTTTCTCTTGAGGTCCAATTAAGCATCTAAATTTAAGTTCTGCATTTTTTTAAAGACGCGCTTGTTTTGTTATTTTTTTAATATTTCTCCAAGCGTATGCGTTTACTAAAGCTTTAAAAATGTTACCGTAAGTCCTTTTTGACTTACTTTA